TTTTAAACTAAATATTGTACTTAAAGTTAACTTACACTTAGTTAACAAACTTATTTATTAAATAAATATTTAAACTAGAACACAGTCTTTAAGTAATACAATTTCATCGATAGATCAAATTAACATATACATCTACATCTAAAAATAAGTTTTCACTAAATTACAATATTTACAATTTAAAATTTACAATTTACAAATCTTTGGCATTTAGTCAACTTCTTCAACAGTTGGACCTCTGTAGTTGCCACCACCAAAACCTCCGGCTTGTTGACCGCAACTGGTTGGTTCTGTGCCTGGTTTGCCCTTGCCCTGTTGGTGCATCTTTGTCATAATCGGACTACAAATTTTAGTTAATTCCTCCATTCTATATTCATATTCTTCTTTCTCAGCTGTGGTGTTGTTATCGAGCCATTTTATGGTTTCATTGCATTTCTCAACCACATTATTCTTATCCGATTGATCTAATTTATCAGCAGCATCGTCTATGGCCTGTTTAACATTAAATACATAAGTTTCAAGTTGATTTCGTGCGGCGATTCGCTGTCTCGCTTTTTCATCTTCTTCGGCATACTTCTCAGCTTCATTTACCATTCGATCAATTTCACTTTGCGACAAACGACCCTTATCATTTTTGATGGTTATGTTCTTTACGTTACCAGTACTCATCTCTTTTGCTGCAACATTTAAGATGCCATTTGCATCCAAATCGAAGGTGACATCAATTTTAGGAACTCCACGAGGAGCTGGTGGTATGCCAGTTAAATTGAATGTTCCAAGAAGATTGTTATCTTTTGTCATGACTCGTTCACCTTCAAATACTTGAATAGTGACTGCAGGTTGGTTATCAGCATAAGTGGTGAATGTTTTTGTTTGTTTACATGGAATGCGACTATTACGTTCTATTAACTTTGTCATAACACCACCAGCAGTTTCAATACCCAATGAAAGCGGAGCAACGTCAACTAGTAGTACATCTTGTATTTGACTGCTCTTATCTCCACTCAGTATGGCTGCTTGAATAGCTGCACCATAAGCGACAGCTTCGTCAGGATTAATTGACAAATTTAAACTCTTGCCACAGAAGAATGATTGAAGTAAGTTTTGTACTTTCGGTATACGAGTAGATCCACCAACTAATACAATATCATGAATTTGATTCTTATCCATTTTTGCATCTGTCAACGCTTTTTCTACTGGTTGCAATGTGTTGCGGAATAAATCTGCACAGAGCTCTTCAAAGCGTGCTCGACTTATTTTCGTATAGAAATCAATACCCTCAAATAATGCATCAATTTCGATTGTTGCTTCAGTACTAGAGGATAAAGTACGTTTGGCACGTTCAGCAGCTGTTCGCAGACGACGAAGTGCTCTTGGATTTGAGCGCAAATCCTTTTTGTATTTACGCTTAAATTCATCAGTCAAATAATTCACCAATCTGTTGTCGAAATCTTCACCACCCAAATGTGTATCACCAGCCGTAGATCGCACTTCGAACAGAGATCCTTCATCAATTGTCAAAATCGAAACATCGAATGTACCGCCACCTAAATCAAATATTAAAACGTTCCGTTCGCCCTTCAAGTTCTTGTCTAGCCCATACGCTAATGCAGCAGCTGTCGGTTCATTTATTATACGTAACACATTAAGACCAGCTATTGCACCAGCATCTTTTGTCGCTTGACGCTGCGAATCATTAAAATAGGCAGGTACTGTGATGACTGCATCTTTCACTGTTGTACCAAGATATGCTTCAGCTGTTTCTTTCATTTTAGTTAACACCATTGAGCTTATCTCTTCGGGTGCAAATCTCTTCTGTTCGCCTTTGAATTCGACGTTAATTTTTGGTTTACCACTGTCGTTTACCACTTTAAATGGCCAATGTTTCATATCTTCTTGTATTTTCTGGTCATCATATTTGCGGCCAATCAATCGTTTAGCGTCGAATACTGTATTCTTTGGATTCATTGCCACTTGGTTCTTA